CCCCCCCCCCCCGAAAAGCAATGGAAAAAATATCCTCAGGTGAGGCTGAAAAGAAAAGAAGAGGGGGGACTGGATTTTATTCTAAACCTAAACATCTGGCATCTGGCTTCTCCCCGCAGCTCTGGGGTGGATTCGGCAGTGTACTTTCCAGATCAGCACATCAACTTCAGATCAGTGACACCAGCCAGGCAGCCCGAATCAATGAATCTGAAAGCCTCAAAGAGCATGGACCTCGGTAAGTGCGGGTGAGGTGACATCCAGGTCAGCTCTCCAGCCTCAGCCCATCTGTCTTCCCGAATGTCCTGCCTTTGTTTCTTCAACTCCAACCTTACGGGGCAAAGCTACTGAAGCCTGGAGGGGGGGATAATGGTCATCCTGTCTTCCTGCCTCCTCTCACGTACTTAATTATAATTACCCCTCTCTAAAAGAGAGATAGATGACTTATTTTTATAAAGGGGTCCGTATAGGTCAGAAAAATATGGTGATTCCTTCCGGAGGATGTGAGCGCCGTGAGCATTAAGTCGCCTGCCTTTGGACCTGGGCACTCGCTCCTGCTGGGGCCGTTCCCTTTCTTACGCGATACCTGTTGCAGGGCTGGGTCAATGCACCCTCTTCCACGGGGCTTCCCCTCTCTGTGTGCCATGGGCAGGAATGGCACAAAGGATTCATGTCTTTAAATGCCCGTCTCCTCATCGTGTGACACTGCGGGGAAGAAGGGTCCCAGGTTAGCCAGACTGAGGGTGTCAAGGTTCCCTGGGTCTGTGCCTGAACAACTTCATTGAGGTTCTGAGCCCCACAGGGAACCTGGGTGACTGTTGGCTGTCAGGGAAGAGCCAGGGCCTTTGTATACTCTGTTCTCCAGGCTCTGGAACTTGGGACCCTCAAAACTTTTCAGATACCCAAGGACGTTGCCACCCTCCTGTGGGCTCTTGGAGAGAAAAAACTATTAGAGAAGAGGGTAGGTGCAAAATAAATGCTCAGCGAACTATTCATTGCTTCCCGAATGCTCAGAGGCCAAGCTTCGCAAATGATTTTTCTTGAGGCATATTACATATTTCATTAGTAGCAAATAGTAGAAAATAGAATAATCAGAACTGCATGTTCTACAAAACAATCTGATAAATAGTGCTTATCTGTAACTCATTTACAGGAGTTCAGGAAAATGTTCAATCATGATGAAGCAAGAGAAATTGATTCTGTTTTCTATAAATTAAACAGATCCCTGGGACACATTTGCTCTAATCAGCTGTAGTAAAAGATGGGTGGAAAACCTTAACAAGGATGCTGTCTCGAGCACTGATCAACGAGGGATATTTTCTCTCATGTGAACCTTTGAAAAAACAAAGAAATAATGTGTGACAGTGACATAGGTTATTACTAATAATTTAAGGGGCAATTTGTTTTCATAGAGTGCTTGATAAACATTTCCTGTTCTGTCTTCCCGATTCCTCTATGAGGAAGATGAATGGATAAAAACTGCTCTTAATTTTGGAGGAGAAATGTATTACTGGTTTTTTCATTTAATTAAGAAAAACAAGTGACCAACAGTATGTTTCTAAAAGAATCTGTGCAAAAGTAAAAACAGCATGCATTTTAATTTAAAGAAGAAAAAATTTTATCAAATCTACAAAAAAACCTAAGGCAGGTCCAGAAACAGTATTTCTTTTGATATTTTTTGTTACTGAAAAGTTTGTTTTTGAGAGCTTTTCTCTTTTAAGTAGAAATAGTACTTGCAAAATATGTATGATTAGCAGTCACCCATTGCATTTTATCATACTTATATAATAAATGACAACAATAACAGTAATGTTTGTTCAGCTTACAGAACTGGGCAGAGGTCATGAGCTGTTTTCTTGAGGACACAAGCACCAAACTAAAAGCATTGGCTAAAATGCACCATACAGCAGAAGTGGTAAAATATGCTGTAAAAACATTTTTAAAGTAACCATCAAAGTTTGGTCCCTTCCAGAAAGTGCCAATTTAAAGCTAGCCGTCTTGCAGAGGGCTCTGGGGGTCACTATTCTAGGACCTTTCTGAACCCCTGTCCCCAGAACAATTGAGTGAGCTCAGTAAATATCTTGATTTTGTCAGTGAATAAATTCAGATGACACCAGAATGGTAAGCATTGGAAGTGCCTTTCCTGTTTGATTAGGTGAAAAGAATATTGTAAGTAGTTCAGTTTTCTAAACTATTAAACACTAGCCCAACACTAGTGTTCAGTTTTCTAAACACTAGGCCAGTGTTAGGAATTTCCTTAAAGGTTCGTTACTATGCTTATAGCAATAATTCCAGCAAGGCCAAGAACCATTTTTCAAAACATAAAAAACAATTAAAACAAAACCTCCTGTTTATTGGGTAATTAATTTATATTGGATATTCCTTCTTTATAAAGTTTGTAGGAATCTTCAAAGGCTAACAGGCCCATTCAGTACTTTGTGTGTTTTTTGTTTGTTTCATTTTTGCTCCTGGGTCTAAGCTAGTATCTTAACTTGCATACTGATGAGTTATTGCTCATATGTTCAAATTATTTTAAGGTAAATGGGTTCCACTTACTTACTTTCACTTAGGTTTCCACAGACAGACGCTTCTTGTTATAAAAAATAAAGCCAAGCCTTCACCTCCCCATCTCCTCCCTTATTCTCCAGACACAAAGATAATTTTAACAGTTTACTGCATGCGTCCTTCTAGAAAGCACTCTACCTATTTGCTGCCCAATCTATGAAGATGTGTCTGTATTATATGTTGTGTTTCTTTATAAGAGATGAATGGTGTTATGTTATGGGACTGAATCTCGATTTACAATTTACTTTTCCCCTTTTGATTGAATTTGGGCTTCACTGAGAGTTTTAGGGGCTTTTTTGGTCTTGGGGGTTTTGAGGGTCCGTTTGTAGTTCTTATTCTGTAATTTGCATATTCATGTCTTTTTCCAATGTTTCCATTTGGTAGTTCCTTTCCCCTTCTTGAGAATATTATATATGTTGCAAATAATGTCTTGCAATTTGCTTTTTTAGTCTGAGTGTCATATTCTTTACTGTAAAAAAGGTTTTTGTCTTATAGTCAAATATTTCCATCTTTTACTTCATGACTTTTGGGTTTTATACTTACCTCGTTTATTTTTCCCTAGTACTGTTAAAGGCTTGTTTTGTTTTTTAATGCATAGCAATCTGTAATATAATATTATCTGTGGCTTGTAAGGTGGGAAACTTTCTCCATGTAAATAGACAAATTCTTAATAACAGTCATTGACTTTTGCATCCTTTCCCCATTAGTTCAGAATGCAGTCCTGTTGAGCACCAGATCCCTTAGTGCGCGGGTTGGCTTCCAGACATGCTGTTCTGCTGATATATGAGTCTGCCCCATGTCAGAACAGGCCTTTTAAAATTACCATGCTCTCATGCTGTATTTTGATAACTTGAGGACAGTCTTCTTCTGATTTTTCTTTTATAAAATTACTTTGACCCTTCACATGCATTTATTTTCTTACATAAACTTTAGATCAGCTCATCAAAATAAACTTAAATATTAAACAGGAATATTTCTACTGCGTGTGTGTCCATCATGATGGCTGATGGTCCCTGATGGACATGTTTTCATCAAGTTAAATAAGTTTCTTTATATTCCTAACTTCTTAAAAAGATTTTTATTTGCTCATTTTGTTTAGTGAGGAATGGATGTTGCATTTTATTAAGTGGCTTTAAGGATCTATGTAGAATGATTATGTGCATTTTATTCTTTATTCTATTAATATAGTGAATTATATTAATAGATTCCCTCAATATGAAATCTTTGATTCCTTCTGAATGACTTAAAATGTTTCTCTGCTCTTGAAAAAGATAGAAATGAGTAACATTTTCTATGTGCTCTGAAACACAGGTATGAAACTCCAGTTATAGTTTTACTCAGTGCCGTTCATTCCTGTAATCCGTTATAGATTTTTTGAGGCTATTCTGCCTCAATATTTTTGGGGTACTTTTGCTGGCACGCATGTGGCCGCATTTAAGTCAGATCAGGAATTAAAATGAATAAAAGGAAATTTATTTTTAAATAATTAGATATAACTATGCTTATTCAAAGGGGTTAGGGTGTCATTTTCTGGGTTTTCCAGAAAATCAGTCTTTTCCTACTAATTGTAGACTTTCCCCTATTTATTTAAATTACCAGAATTACTGTGTTCAGTCTGGATCCCTTTAATTTGTTCATAATTGAGCTCGTGTGGGTGTTGAGTTGGAAGCTCTCAGGAGCTGAATAACACAGCTGCCTCTTTGGCCTTTGGCATAGGGTTTTCCCCCAAAGAGCTGCCCTTGTTGGCAGTATGCCAGAGCGTTACAGTCAAAGACTCTTTGATGAGGAATAAACATCTTTAATTTCCAGGCCTGGTGTTTTGTGACCCAGTAATACTTTTTAAGTATTCGTCTGAATTATTGAAGGGACAGTGCTTCAGTATTTCGGCCCATTCATTGACCTAATCTGTAGCCCCATTCAAAGTTAAGTTTAAAACGTTATTTCACACAAGATTTTTTTTTTTTAGTGTTTTCTCTCCTGTTTCCAATTGGCCTCTTACTCCGATTTCAGAAGGGCACTCTGCTGCACAGTTAGGAGGGGACCGAGGGCGGTGCAGATGGAAGATGCTGGCCAGCTGTCCTGCCCCAGCTCAATGAGAGGAAATGAGCTCTAAGTGATGCATGAGGCATTCCGGCAACATTGTAGGGAGTTTCCCGACAGTGAAGGTTGTTAACATTCCGTGTCTCACGGTCTTAAAAAAGTGCACGTGTTAGGAGTTCCTAAAATCAAGGCAATAAATAAATGGGCTGATTTTCCTGTAAGATCTATGATTCAGCAATTTTATTTTGTTAGTTGCTTGTTCAAAATTTGTCTTAAGACAGAAGATATTTGTAGACATTCAGTGTTGAAGTAAATTATATATCAACTGATTTCTCATATCAATAAAGGTAAATGTTTGGGTCACATTTTGAATATAACCCCTTCATAATTGTCGGACCTTTCCATCAGAGAATAGTTAGGCATCTAGTGTCAGATCGAAGATGAACATGAAAAAAGTTAATTAACCCCACTCTACTTTTATACTTTCTTTCTAAAATTAATTTTTGGATAGTGAAGTACTTTCATATACATTGTTAGTAATAAGACAAAAATCCTGAACACTGAATGCATAGAAGAATTTTTATAAAAGTATATATTCTAATAACTAATGCTGGCATATAAACTAATATCATA